GGGGAGAGCCTTCTCTGTAGCTGCCCCGGCCCTATGGATCTCAGGGGGTAGATCGTCCCATAGGGCCGGGGCAGCTACAGAGAAGGCTCTCCCCCGAGGAGCCGCCAGACGACATTGTCTAGTCGACGTCACCTGGAGGAGGCCCATCCTGTGTGATCTTATCGGACGCTGGGAGGTATGTGGCAGAAGATGGTCTCAGGTTAACAGAAGCTGGGACAAGTCACGGGAGTAAAGGGATTCGAACCATCAAACTCCCGACCTTTCTGATTGACAAGCTCAGTGTCTTAGCCACTGAGCCACCACATCCCTTAATATGCTGTGCTACCTTCTGCCCTCAATGCCAACTTCTACCCTCCTGGTAGAAGGTAGTAAACAGGGTCTTCTTAGAGTTTAAGTGGATTTTCTCTGAAATGGCTGGATTCTTTACAAGTAATTATGATCCATTTGTCTGTCTGTCTGCCCATCTGTCCATTCTCTCTCTGTCTCTTTCTCTGTCTCTCCTATCATCTCTATCTAGCCATCATCTCTTCCCTTCCTCACCAAACAGCCATGAAACTTCCTTCCCACGTAATGGCTGCTGATGAGGAGGGTCAGAAACCACAGCGTCTCTTTGCCCAGGTCCCCAAAGCCACCTCCTGGGTCCCCTTAATGGGTTCATAAGAGTGGTGTTTATGTACAGTATTTATCTGTGAAAAAAAAGAGAAAGGGAGAATATCTGGTAACCTGGAGTGGGAGAGGCAGGAAGGGAAAGGGGAGGGGTGAAGATCTGTAATGATCAAATCCAGTTCTCCTCATATGAGTAACATTAAATACAACCGGCGTAATGACGACTCCGTGATCAGTTAAAATATGGAGGGCTGAAAATACAGGGCTTGTATTTTTCCCTGATGTATCGTAATGGTCACATTTTTCTTCTCCAATGGTTTTTTTTCTGAGATAAAGAACAAATTAAACTGATTTTGATTGCTACTTGGAAATACTTAAAATTGAAAAAGGCAGCAGGTGGGCCTTGCTGGGAGGAATGATGGTTATTTTAGCATAACAGATGCATGCATAAAACATTGCCTGCCCCTCTTTTTGAAAAAAGGAAGGAAAAAATCCCTCCCTTGCTTTCCAAAGGGCCAAAACCTCCCCGGCTTTGAATGTGCTGAAGAGATGGAGGAGGCTTGAGACAAGCTGGGGCTAATGGGAGGGGGGGGGTTTCCAGAAAGTGGGAGGGGGCTGCTTGCTTCCCAAAGGCTTCTGCAGGAAAATGTGTCTCCTGCGGGAGATAGAGCAGCTGTGCTGAAAGTGACTCTAGCATCTCCCCCTGCTCTCTCTGGTTGAAAGAGGAACCAGAGGAGGCCAAACCACCCAGCTTCTCTTGGGTCCCAAAGGCCAAAGGCTTTGACCATCAGCTTCCTGAGACGGGAGATGTCCAGAAATGTTTGTGTGAACCATTCAGCCTCACCTTTCCTAAATTGTGAAGTGTTACATATCTCTGCCAAAGGTGGCTGTTTTCAGAGCAGGAGGCCTTTGGTTTGATAAAGTAGACCATAACCTACTACTAGATAAAACAGGAAAATGTGGGTTAGACAGCATCACCACCAGATGGATTCGCAACTGGCTGACCAACCGCACTCAACGTGCAGACCTCAATGGAACTGCATCTACATGGAGGGAAGCATGCAGTGGAGTACCCCAAGGCTATG